AAAAAAAAAAAAAAAAAGATTACCAGTATTTGTTTTACTTGGATGGCTGGATAATTAAAACACGTGTAAAACTTAACTTAATCTACAATGTCTGCTTCACACTGTGTGATCACTGCCACATATTTTTAAAGGAACACTCCTGTGTTCCCTTACCTTTAAATAAATAAGTTAACTTACCTATGACCTTTAGCTCTGGTCTGCACCCCCAGTAGATCGCCAACTCTAACGATGTCCCTGCCAATCTGATGCTTCTGATAGAAAGTTATGCACAACAACTGCCTTGCTACCTTGCAGTGCTTCTCATAGGGAAGCATTGAATACTCTATGAGAAGCACGTACATATTTCTGTTTTGTGCTGGTATAAAAAGGAATTAGAAAGATTACCCTACTGGTCTCTTTATGACAAGCACGTTTTGTGCTGCTACAAAGAGAAATCAAAAAAGGCCCCCTCCAGGCTGCCTTTACACCTTGTGACCAGGCTAAAGCACACCTGTGCAATAATCATGCTGTCTAATCAGCATCTTGATATGTCACACCTGTAAAGTGGATGGATTATCTCGGCAAAGGAGAAGTGCTCACCAACACAGATTTAGACAGATTTGTGAACAATATTTGAGAGAAATAGGCCTTTTGTGTACATAGAAAAAGACAAAAGTGTTGCGATTATACTTTTGTTCAGTGTATAATATAAATGCTGATTCCAGGCATTTATAGTAAAGAAAAAAGGCACACCTGGACCATGCATTTCTCAGCAATGGTGCTGCAGTAGAGACCAACATGTATAGAAAATACAGATTAAGGAACAGTGCGCACACAAATATACAGTTTTACATCTTACACAGCTACCTAAAATCACCTAGCTCAAAAAAACAAATATGGGGCTTGAGTTCCACCATATGGCCTTCTCATGTTAAGCCCACCACTCCTCCATAGTACCCCAATATCGGTGGGTCCTATACTTCTTCCAACATGGGAGACAAATTCAATATTGCTAGTGCTAAATGAACTAAGCTGTATTTAATTATTTTGAGATATGTGATTTTAAGTAGCCTTGTAAAATGTAGAAATTTATTTTTTTTGTGCGCCCTGTTCCTTAATCTGTAGTTTGATTACAGACTTCATATGAGTTCAGTAATTGGATAGACTGGAGAGATGCTGAAGGAAAAAGGGCTGGAGAGACATTTTGGTAGGAGACAGACTGGAGAGATGCTTTGAGGAGAGACATGCTCGAGAGGTGCCTAGGTAGAGACAACTGGAGCGCTGCTTGGGAGAAAGACCTACTGGAGAGTTGCTTAGATGGGGATAGATTGGAGGGATGCCTGAGAGGCAACAGGCTAAGGAGAGTTGGAGTTAAAATATAGAGCGTTTCTAGGGGAATATACTGGATAATTGGTCGGCTAAAGAAAGACTTGACAGTAAGAAGAGAGAAATCTGAAGGGGGAGAAAATACAGACTAGGAAGACATTAAGAGCATTACAGAAGACACTTGACACTTGAGACAAACCAGTCACGCACTTGACCAAAAAAAAACAAAACGACGCAGACTGAAAGATTTAAGAAAAACAAGATTAGTCAGATAGTTTAGTAGACAACTGACAGACAAGTCTGTTAGCCTCCCTCTTACTCCACTGTTCAACAATGAGGAACTGAAATCTAGCACCTGTCATATTTCATTTAAGAAGAAACACTAAAAACAGGAAAAAAATTAAAAATAAATTCTCGATAAATCATGTTGTTTATTATTAAGTGTTGGTGTAATTAAAACGTAACATATATTTAAAAATACCTTCAACATATATTTCATTATGCTTTGCTAAAACAAACAAATAAATACAATTAACATGAAGGTTAAAATCTTTTAGTAAATCAATGCAATTATTCACTAGAGACACAGTGGTAAGCTGAAAACCAAATGGCAAAACATAGGCAAAAATACCTTATTTGTCAAAATTCCTTCATTCAAATCTAGTAAAAGTTTTGCTATTTTTTTCAGCCTGAAGTTTACAATTCAGTTTTCAGTTCCCAACTATTCACTTTTTAGTCCAGGGTATCAAACTCCAAACACACCCGCAAATACTGTTTGACTAAAACTCCCAAAATTCTTTAAATGCAATTGAAGGGAAAATAATTATGGGAACTGTAGTCCAAGACTGTCTTTGTAAATCAGAAAGGTTCAGTAAAAGCACTCAGGAAACTGAGAAGCTAAAATGTGTTTTTTATTATTATTATTATTATCATCATCATTGGCATTTATATAGCACCAACAGATTCCGTAGCGCTTTACAGTATTATAAGAGAGGGGGGATTTAACTATAAATAGGACAAATACAAGAAAACTTACAGGAACGATAGGTTGAAGAGGACCCTGCTCAAACGAGCTTCCAGTCTACAGGAGGTGTGGTGCAAGCGCGAGTTGGCCATACGGGTGCGAGCAGCGGACAGTAGAAGGTCACGGGCAGAGGGGAGAGACCGAGAAGGGGCATACCTATGGATCTGTGAAGAGATATAAGAGGGGCTTGAATTGTTCAGTGCTTTATAGGTATGGGTTAGCAGACTAGAGAGGAAAAATAAGTCTGGCGGCAGAATTCATTACAGACTGTAGTGGGGTAATGCGGCTTTTGGGAAGACCAATTAGGAGAGGGTTACAATAATCCATGCGGGTAATTACAAAAGCATGGACAAGCTCCTTAGTACCATCCAGCAGAAGAAAGGGGCGAATGTGGGCTATGTTTTTAAGATGGAATTTACATGATTTGGCAACATACTGGATGTGAAGCTCAAAGGTGAGGCCAGAATCAAATATGACAGTGCAAGACAGTGCACTTGCAAGGATGAATTTATGTGGATACCACTAACTTGAAGGGAGAGTCAAAGAGGAGGATAAGTATTAGGAGGAGGAAAGACAAGAAGCTCAGCTTTAGAGTGATTGAGTTTCGGAAAGCAGGAGGACATCCAGTCAGAGATGACAGAAAGGCAAGCAGTGACTCGTTGTAGGATGGCAGGGGAGAGGTCAGGGGAGGAGAGATATATCTGAGTGTCATCAGCGTACAGGTGGTACTGGAATCCAAATGAGGTAATAAGTTTGCCAAGAGAGGCAATATAAAGAGAAAATAGTAGGGGACCAAGGACACAGCCTTGGGAGACTCCAACCGAGGCAGGACGAGGGGAGGAGGTGTCATTAGAAAAGGAGACACTGATTGAGCGTTGGGAGAGATAAGAGGAAAACCACGAGAGGGCAGAGTCACAGAGACCGAGTGATTGAAGAGTTTGAAGAAGGGGAGCATGATCAACGGTGTCAAAGGCAGCAGAGAGGTCAAGAAGAATTAGTATGGAGTAGTGGCCTTTGGATTTAGCTGCGATTAGGTCATTAGTAACTTTGATAAGAGCAGTCTCAGTAGAGTGGAGAGGGCAGAAGTCAGATTGAAGAGGGTCAAGGAGAGAGTTGGAATTGAGGAAGTGAGATATATGGGTAAAGACAAGTCTTTCCAGAAGCTTTAAGGAAAAAGGGAGCAGGGATATAGGACTATAGTTAGAGGGGGAGGATGGGTCAAGAGATGTTTTTTCAGGATAGGTACTACAGTGGCATGTTTAAGGTCAACAGGGACAACACCAGAAGAGAGAGAGCAGTTGAAGCTGTGTATTAAGGAAGGCACAAGACAGGGGGAGAGAGATCTGATAAGGCGTAATCAGACAGGATCGAGTGGGCACGTGGTGGGGTGAGAGGAAAGGAGAAGCACAGCCACTTCTTGTTCAGTAGCCGGGGAGAAAATCTGAAGGGTAGGAAAGGCATTATCTATGTGTGGCTGAGAAAGAGAACGGCAAGGTGGGGAGAATTCTTTCCTTAGCTGTTCAATCTTGTTGGTAAAGTAGCATGCAAAGCTATTGGCTGTAAGGTTAGTTTGGGGGTGGCCACAGCAGGGCAAAGAAGAGAGTTAAAGGTGTCAAAAAGATGCCTGGGATTGCGGGAGCATAAACTAATGAGAGAGGGAAAGTATGACTGTTTGGCAAGGGCAAGGGCTGCGCTGTATGAACACAATATGAATCTATAATGGAGATAGTCTGCCTGGGTGCAAAACTTCCTCCAGGAGCGTTCAGCACAACAAGAGCATCTTTGCAGGTAGTGTGTTGATTTAGTATGCCATGGTTGGGGGTGTGTCCTCCTCGAGGTGCATATTTGGAGCAGCCTTCCAGAGATGATACCTCTGCTTAGGCTTTTCTGCAGTGCTTGGTTGCTTGTGAGTTCTGGCTGTTGCTAATCACTGCTGTTATTTGGGGCAGAAAATCAGGATAGGAGATATAATAGTTATCAATTAAGTAGTGAGACTATAGGGAGGGAGGTGAAATAGAACACAATTGTGAGTTAAGAACTAAAGGGAAACAATAAGCAGTACATGTAATTCTTGTGTAATTCAATTAATCTTTTTTTTTTTTTTTTTATACAGCAGAAAACAGCCCTAGAATGAACCAGAAGCCTGTATTGATTGGCTTATATATTGTACTCTTTCTCTTCGTTGTCAACATGTCCTATTTTTACCATAGCAGCTCAACGGTTATATCAATGCCAGTTATTAAATCGCTTAGAGATGTGTTCCAAAAAACAGAACCAATACAACTCCAATGGACTACAATAGCCACAACGAAAGCCACCAAGAGGCCTCTCACTGGTATGTGGACAGTAAATGCTATTGGTCGTCTAGGTAATTTAATGGGAGAGTACGCCACACTCTACGCATTGGCAAAACTGAATGGTCATGAAGCTTATATCTTGCCGGAAATGCATGCACAGTTATCCAAAATCTTTAAAATTCGACTCCCAGCAATTCACCCAGATGTTCTAAAATCCATTCCATGGAGAAATTATGGACTTCATGATTGGATGTCTCCAGAATACAATAACATCCAAGGGGAGTATGTTAGATTAACTGGATATCCTTGCTCATTTACCTTCTACCATCACATAAAGGATGAGATTCTCAAGGAGTTTACATTTCATGATTATGTTAAAAAAGAAAGCAATGATTACCTTGCTAACATCATAGGAGATCGGAAAAATGTCACCTTTGTTGGAGTACATGTCCGAAGAGGAGACTATGTGTATGTAATGCCAAACACATGGAAAGGTGTAATCGCTGACAAGGGATACTTGCAGAAAGCCATGGACTATTTCAGAAACAAGTATGAAAATCCCTTGTTTGTGGTGACCAGTAATGGCATGGATTGGTGCAAGGAGAACATTAATAATTCATTAGGGGATGTCCACTTTGCTGGTGATGGCAAGGAAGGTTCTCCTGGACGAGACTTTGCCCTCCTGGCACACTGTAACCACACTATCATGACTATAGGGACATTTGGCATCTGGGTTGGATATCTGGTGGGAGGGGAGACAATTTACCTTTCAAATTATACCTTACCCGATTCTCCTTTTCTCAGACTTTTCAAGTATGAAGCTGCTTTTCTTCCTGAATGGATCGGTATTCCAGCAGATCTCTCACCCCTTCTGAAAAAAGACAACAAATAATACAATATCACAAAATCTAGCAATTATTAATAAAACTCAGGAACCAGACATATTAGGAAGAAATCTGATATCTTTTTAAACTCTGGAGAAGAAATAAATTTTGGATAACTTACTGAACATACTGCAAAAACTCTGGAATTGCAGTGATATGTCTAATAGGCATATTTTTTAGTCATTTGACTTTTTTAAACTCAGGATTATAAGGTAAATAGATAAATGTTATTACTACGGAAAAAAAACAGCTCATATCTTACTCAAAGGTATGCCCATGGACATTCCCGCAGACACATCTGAAATGCCATTTCTCTGTGTACTTTAAATTTCTATAGACTTCAATGAAGCTGTGCTCAACGTCTTAATGAATGTAAAGTTAAATGGTTGAGTAGAGTTAATATATAATTGACTTTTAATGCATTATTGTGTCAAACTATTAGGTCACACACACACACATATATATATATATATATATATATATATATATATATATATTTATATATGTTGTTTATAAGACATCCCTGTTGTGTATTTTATTTGGCAGCTGCCCCCAAAATAGTTAAACTCTTGGGTCTTTGGAACATTGAAAAATATTTATTTCAAGTCAAATGTTGATGTACCAGTTGATGTTTGCTTCACAAAAAGTAAATTTTATCATCATCAGGCCGGACTGGCCATTGGGCATACCGGGCAAATGCCCGGTGGGCCGCGATGGCCGTGGGGCCAAGGCCGGCAGGGGATCTCCTCAGCCGGCCCCTGCAGGGCCAGCGCTATCCGAGCGCCGGCCCTGCTGTGGGCCGGTGGGGAGATCTCCCTCACCGGCCCAGAGGCATGGAGATGCGGCCGCCGGCTGGGGAGGGAGGCAGGGAGGAGAGAGGACCGGCGGAGCTCTAACAAGCAGCTCCGCCAGGTCCTCTCGCGGGATTCTGAGCATTGCCGCGGTTACCACAGAAACGCTCAGATCTCGCGAGAGTGAACTCTAACCTGCAGGTTAGAGTTCACTCTCACCACTGGGCCACCAGGGAAGGATGGCAGAACGGCTCCCCTCCCTCCATGGCAGAACGGATCTCCCCCCCCCCCTCCCAGGATAAAGGTAAGAAGGGAGGGGGGGAAATAATTTTTTTTTAATTATTTTTTTATTAGTAAAAAAAATATATTTAAATTTAAATAAAAAATACATTCACTCACACACACAGCACCCAGACACAGCACCCCCAGACACACACAGCACCCCCAGACACACACAGCACCCCCAGACACGGCATCCCCCAGACACACACAGCACCCCCAGACACAGCACCCAGACACACACAGCGCACCCAGACACACACAGCGCACCCAGACACACACAGCGCACCCAGACACACACTGCACCCAGACACACACTGCACCCAGACACACACTGCACCCACAGACACACACAGCGCACCCAGACTCACACAGCGCACCCAGACTCACTCAGCGCACCCAGACAGACACAGCGCACCCAGACTCACACAGCGCACCCAGACACACACAGCGCACCCAGACTCACACAGCGCACCCAGACACACACAGCGCACCCAGACACACACAGCACCCCCCATACACACACAGCACACTCCCACACATATACAGCACACACATATATATATATATAAAATAACCCTCAGTGAGTTAACAGACAAAGAAAATTAGAAACCTAGAATGTGACAGCAGATAAAAGCACCCTCACACACAGCACCCCTCTTACATACACACACTGCGCCCCTCACACATACAATAAGTCCAAGTATATTATATATATATATACACACACACACACACACACTACAGCACCCCTCACACTGCACCACTACACACATTACGCTCCAGATACACACTAGATCCCTTACCCTAAATGCACTCTTAATCCTCTACACACACACACACTGGGTCCTTTACACAGTAGATCTCCTACACACACACACTACATTCCTTGTCAGCAAACACATACAACATTCTCTAAACACACCCTCTCTGCAACCCCTAGACACACTACGTCACCTATACACACACACTTCAGCCCGTATGCACACACTCGCTGCATCCCCTATAAAACTATGCCCCCTATACATACACTCTCTACAGCCCCTAGCCACACATATTACACCACAAACACAAATTAAATTGACCTATTTATACAATACCACACCGCACTCTACACATACGCAATCCCACAAGCAGGCTCCAAACATATGCACCATGCACTTTCCTGGCCCTTTTGTCCTCTGGTATCCCACTTGTGGAGACACCAGAGACAATTTAAAAGCAAACACAGCGCAAGCATGTTATTAAATTTGCTTGCGCTGCGCAGAATAAATTCAGGGCCTTTTTCTAATCCCAGAGCACTTCAGCTGGGGCTCTGCGCATTGAACCAACATGCTCACTTTGAGAGGGGGCGTGTTGTCATTAGTGATGACAAATCACACACTCTCTGGCCCCGCCCCCTTGTTAGGGGGCTGCTCTGATTGAAAAATGCCCGTGCCTAATTTTTTTCCCAGTCTGGCCCTGATCACCATCGTGATACTGAGCACTATAGATAGGTATATGACTAGGTATTGTTAGGGTTAAGAGTTAGGGGGCAAATGATTAAGGGTCCTGTAGATTGTAACTCCTATCATTTCAACCAGACTTTCCAACTCAAATTACCCCCCAACTCTTTTTAGCTGTAGTTTAATGGAATGTCAACATTTAAAATGTGTCTAGTTAATGGCAATGTCTTAAATATACACCGCATAATTCATAGGGATAGTATACAGGGAGGTTTTCATTAGCAGTGTGTATTATTGATGACTTGGGAAGGAATGTATTGGTGTTCAAAGACAGAGTATTGTTTTACACTAGGTCCACATTCATGCTGTCCTTTATTTATGTTTTTTTTTTTTTTTGCACAAGTATTCTCAAATGACCAGGTGCTAAACAAAACAACAATGAATAAATGAAGGGGGGAGGTCATATTTATGGCTACTATAAAATGATAGATTATAGCAAATAATATTTGGGAGTGAAAGCACCTTTTAAACAGGGCAATTGAAAAGGTTTGTCAGAGCAGAACAGTAAAGCAGGGGGACGTGGCCTGTAAATTGGCAAATCCCCCTTAAAACTGGACAGAGTCATGTGTGGGAGGGGATGAAGCTAAACATCACTTTTACCAAACTTAAAAGAACGATTTGACCCAAAAGACTAGAAATTGGTTATCAAAAGTCCCGGGGATAAACACAGCATTTCCAAAATATATTTATATGTTTTGTTAACATTATTTAAGTGGTTCAGCATGATTAGCAGTTGTTGCAAACCCCATTATTTCTTTCAGGGATAAGGTCAAGTTCTAGGTATTTTGATAATCTGAGTACCACTGTGTATTTTATGTATTTAACATACAATTTTGTGGAACCAGGACATACTTGAAAAGAATAAATAATAGTTTATGGCAAGTCACATGCCTTCTGCAAGGATTACCAGCAACAGTAACAATTCTACTTTCAGTAGAGTAGTCTTGTTACATTTAAAATAAGATTATTATTTTTTCAAATAATAAGATTTAAAATTATTTCTACCTTGATATTATGTGATTTATGCTTTAAACTTCCCTTCAAATGGAGAGAGGCAGAGGCTTTCACGAAGAGACTGGCACAAAAGGGGAAGAAAGCTTGGTAAATTGTACCATCCTACTTCATTCTGAAGGGGGTGGGGGCAACACCTAAACGGTGAGTTGGATTTTAAATCTCTAGGAATACATGATTCAAGAGATTGGAGTGGAGCCTTTCGATTTGAAGGTGCCTCTCCACAACGGGTGTTGAAACTGCACCTGAAAGGAAAATAAATGAATTAAGTAAATAACTCCGCTTGTTTGGAATACATGTTTGAATGTAGATAATATTGGTTGATGAGTTGCCCAAATACCTGTGAAAAGCTCATATTTACAACGGTGGTAAAAGCAAACAGTAAAGGAAGCCTCAGTCTACCTGTGAAGAAGATATCAAAGAGGGAGCCATAAATACACGTCTTTTTTGGAATTACTTGAAGACCCAACTCGGTGAGATGGGACATTAAAGGGGCATCACACTAAACAGCCGGTTGTGGGTTATTACCAGCTCATTTGCATAATTTAGGCCATAACAGCCAAGTTGGGAGATATATCCAAATCAGCTGGCTTAGCCTAAATAATTGGCTTCCCACAATTGCCTTTAAGTAAGTAGGACTTATTTCTTTTTAAACTTAAAAATCTCTAGGTTATAATATTATGTTTGTCGGTAGGAAATGTATAATTGATTTAACATATAATAATTTATTATATCATTTTATGCTGATACTTTCTGTATGTACGTTATGCAGTTATGTATAGTAGTTGTTGGAGGTGATGCTAACAAAGAACATGCATTTATTTATATTGATATCTGAATTTTATATAATATACATGTGTGGGTTATATATTCAATAAATAGTTGAGGCCAAAATAGTTACGTTGGAGAAAAAGTCCAACATAATTTAGTGGCAAGTTGTTTCATACTCAGGTTTTTTGAGATAAATTTAGCAATTTTGTCAATGTGCTACACCATACAGGTTTAATGTGTGAATTTAGACAACATTGAGAAATTCTCCAAGTTCCATGTTTTCTGTATGCCAATGTTGCCAAGGAGGTTTAAATTTCACCTCCAAAAATACACACATTAGTGGAGTGAATAACCCTGTCTCTGGCTATTGAATATACTCTAGAACTATGGCTTATTCTGCGGCTCTAAAAGGCATTGCTTAGAATATCAAATACAGTATAAATGTATATCTACATGTACATTTATATATGTCATGAAATACATCGCTGTGTAATATGGCTGGAAAATAAATATATTTTTTTATAAATATATGTATGGAGTGTATTTCTTAGTCACATATATATATATAAGAGTTGCAAATAACTGATGTGTGTTCTAATTTTCTAATAATATGTATTGTCAATTTATTTAGCATACTAATATCCTGGGGTTGATTGAACTTACAATTTACTAAAGCGAATCAACAGGTGAACTGCAAAATTAAGGTCAGAATAGTAGATTTGTAAGAATATTTCAACTTTTTTGGCCCTCAATTCATGATTGCTTATCAATATTCCATTAGTTCCCATTTTCCTTTCTCCAGGGTTTTGTGACGTCTTAATATTGTATCTGTATATAAAATCCATCCACATTTGCATGGAACACGATGACCTAGAGTGTCAGCGGCATTCTCCAGATAGAGAGTACTCTCCAAATTAGACAAAATTAATATTGATCATGCAGATTGGAATATTCAGCTTCAGTGTTATTAGTTAGAAGTGGCCAGACCACGTGTGCTGGGGCACCTATAAAAGTGTTAAATTATTTGAATGTGGTTTGACTTTTAACAGCGGCGCTAGAGGACTCCCAGCACCATAACAACTACAGTGATTGATTCGTTACTTTATGTAGCATTATGTTACTGCTAATCTTAATTCCTCCTTACAATGAGCAGAATAGGTTTACAGGAGAACAAAGATCTTGTTTTTGTTTAATGCATTAAAGCAGATGTATGTCACCTTCGGCACTCTGCTCATTGTGGACTAGATATCTCCTGATGCTTTGACAGCACTATGGTGGTAAGAGCATTATGGCAGATCTAGTCCATAATATCTGGTGTGCTGAAGGTTGCCGACACCTGCGTTATAGATAGAAAACAAGGCAAATAAATGAAGTGGGAAAAAGAGAGGGGAGCACAAGCTGTTACATGTTTTAATGCTACTGACACAACAAGTGTTTGCAGTTGGTTATCCAGCTATACATTCGACATTGCTGGTTTCCGTTGATTTTTTTACCATTTGCCGGGGAAGCAGTTTCTCTCTATATTCTTCTTAACGTATATTTATAGCAAACCTCTGGATGTCTCCACGTAGAATCCAGATGAAAGCTTTCTATGCTTAGTGACTAAATTTAGCAAACATACCCGCATGTGTACAAAGTAAACAGCTTTGCAACAATAAAGAAATGTGAGTAATTCTTGCTTGATCTTGTCTTTGGGCCAAACACTTCCTGGAAACTATATGAGTGTCAGGAATAGCTGATGCCCAACAAGCAGAACCTAAGTAGATATAAAGGAAAATCCTAAAACGTATTACCGGGCCTTAGACTGGCCGGATTTAACGTATAAAGGAAAAAAAAACATAAGACAGGGAAAAGACAAGAATGCAGAAAACTCGGAATCAATGAACAAGTCACGAGTCAAGGAATTGAGTTATCAGAATAGTCAGGAGCCAAGCCAAAGGTCAAGGAATACAGAGATCGGATAGTTAGAAGGGAAGCCAAGGTCAAATACACTAGAATCAATACCAAAAACGTGCTCTCAGATAACCACAATGGAAACTACGACAGGGCACAGAGAAATGGACAAACAAGGTTTAAATAGCCTAAGGTGCTCCCTGATTGGCTGCAGGGAAGCATGTGATAGTGAACATGTGTGTGACATCACACACACGTTCAAAATGGTATGGCACTATAAGGGTTAATAACAAATCCTTAAAACAAAGCTGCAGAGGCCGGCATCTCTAATGGTTACAGACCCGGCCGCTGTGAGAGGGGAAGGAGCCGCTACCGGGAGTGAGTGATGGACGGCATTCCCATACCCACGTGGATAATGCTGGGCATTAGCGGACCCAGCGGACGGACACGTAAGAGACCGGCGGTATTCCCCTTAGCGTTTGGGAATGCAGCCGCAATGACAATGAGCCAGTGGACAAGCTTTGACTCTTTAAAACATTAAAGGGAAACTATAGGGACAGGGAAAAAAAGTTGTCTAACGACTCGGAAGTCCCTCTAGTAGCTGTCTGGTTGACAGCCACTAGAAGTGAAGTTAACCCTGAAAGGTAATTATTGCAGTTTATTGAAAACTGCAATAATTACCTTTGCATGGTTTAGGGACCTGGGACTGGGCGCCCAGACCACTCTAATGAGCTGAAGTGGGCTGGGTGCCTATAATGTCCCTTTAAACATTTTGATGGCCCTGAAGATCATCAGCTGGTCCTAATATTGCATGCAACCCACCTAAAGCAAGATATACTGTGGAACATCGTATATCAGTATTATAATTAGTGTGAGTAACACCCAAGTATTGCTGGTTCTAATACTGATTGTGATGGAAACAATATGTTGTTGGGACATAGCAATATTTTAAATTAACACCTGTGTTATCGCAGAGGTACAAATTATGACATACCACGAGATAAGTACCAGTTGGGAGGTTTGTTTGTCATGGGATTTGTTTAGAATATGACAAGTTCCTGTTGAAGAAAAATGTCTGTTAAACTGCCACAAAGTATTAAAAATTGTCCCTGACACTGACAGGTGGAGTAAGTGTCTGGAAAGATTTATGTATGAGAGCAGTATATGGATCTGACGTGAAAATGTCAAGGAAACCAGCTGATTTTGCACATGTGAAGAACTCTGCAATTACTCTTTTGTATATGAGGGTATATTCTTTCCAAATAATATTTACTGAATTACTGGAAAGGGTACAAGAGATAAAAAGGGGGGGCAAACAATTTATCCATCCACAAACAACTGAGCATACAAGGGAACACAAGACATTTCCTGCAATCATGAAATTTAAGAAACAAGAAATATATATAGAATTAAGCTAGAACACTCAACATACTACAACTAAGCGCAGTAACACGAATTCAGACAGCCTAAGTAAATTTTATTAAGCGTGTTTAGTCAGTCGGGCAGGCCTAACTGTTTGTTCTCACTTTGCTTCCCTCTCCTAACAAACGTGCACCGCTTGCTTAACAGTTACGTGAACCTCACACGCAGTGATATTTATGTTCGGGTTAATGTATATTGCTTGCCTTACTCACTTGTGAACTGTAATACTTGACATATGTCCTGCTTTCTGCTACCTGCTACCACTCATTACCTATATATTTAAAAAAATGTGCATTTCTCAACTGCCATAACCGTGAAGCGTTGTATTACTGTGAGCTTATCACTGCTATTGTGGCAGAATAAGCCGATATGTTCATTATGCATCCAAAAAAAAAAAAAAAAAAAAAAAAAAAAAAAGGAAACAAGAAATATAATAAGTGCAAGGAAATGTAACATATTGCATTGTATATTAAATGAGAACATCAACATCAGCCCAATATCTGAAACCAAAGATGTCTCAAAATAGAAATAAGACATTAAGATATAGGCTCCACGTTTTAAGGTGTACCATGTTCGCCCCACACAAGATCCAGAATAAGAAAAAAAATCCTTGAGGAGAGGAGAAAAAAAAATTGAAAATACAAAAAAAAAAGGGGAAAAAACTCCCAAAAAGTATAAACAAACAAACAAACAAAAATAGACCATAAAGGGGATTAGTAAAAATTCCATCCCTCTAAAAAAATTACAAGGCCTTAACGGTTGGGGTGGGGGGGTGGGGGGTAAAAGTATACATAAATATGAATATAGTGTGGATCCGGGTATAAAACAAATTGGTTATAATATAGTAAAAATAAAAAAAATACATTCATTATGAATTGTTATTTCCTAAAGAAAAACAATAATATTAAGATTTTTTTCTAAAAAAAAAAAAATTACACTTGTTTCTACATAAAACCTAACAAGATAGTAGCAAATATAAAAGCGAAAGATAAGTAAAACAAAAAGGAAAATATTAAACAACAATACTATGCATAAAACAGTACTCGTGTAGGAATCTAATACACTAATATCCCAGCACTTAAAACGAATCACCAGGAAGATACAGCATTGACTCTTGTCATTGTGATAATCAATATAGCAGCTGCAGAACATATTGGGTTATTTTTCAATGTTGTTTTTAGATTTTTCAGTCTTAGAGTCTATAAATGCATGTTAGAAGACAAGGAAAGAAAAAACAAAATGTGGTGGTAGTGGAAGCAGAAATATTACGTAGGGATGTCCTACTATCATCTAATACCTACAATAGATCTGTTGTTATCTGTTTATCTGTTTTTTACATCTACATCACTGGACTAATACGGCTACAATCTCTACTTGATCATGTTAGGATATACTATTACACAAGTGTGAGAGAACCCTTGTAAGCCTCTTTTAAACAGTCAAGGCTTATCAAGTAGCCCTTGCTCTTATTTGGAAAGAGGTCTATTACTCACTTTAGTTGGTTTTAAGTTTGCGTTTAGATCTTCTATGTTGTTAAGCCTATTCTCATGAGCAACAGGTAAGGATTGTGAAATTGTACTAATCTTGTGAAGTGTTTATAGTTCCACAGACAATTTGTAAATCAGCCAGAAACATGAATAATTATATAAGAGTAAATATGGAAAAAAAAAATGTTACTGAATCGAGTTGCTAAACTAGCAGTTGCCAAACAGGAGCCAATATTGGTGAGAAAACTGACAGATGCATTAGATAATTCTTAATACCTTCTGGATATATTTGACAAGGAGTGGCTGAGAGCCACTACATGATTGGAGCACGCCCCAGTATGCAGCAAACAAGGGACAATTAAAGGTGGGTGTCTTATATATATATATATATATATATAATTTTATTTTTTGTTATTATTATTAAGTGTTCTTGCATAGCAAGACCACTTAATGTTACCTCACATATATATTATTCTTATTCTTATTATAGCCAAATTTACCACCCTAACTCCTCCCACAGTTTTTACACTACATAGACAGTAATATACGGAAACATGCGGATTGTTCGTGATCGGATTGCTATTACTTTGAGGAATGTTTCTCCGAATGGTTCACGGAATATTGACGTTCTTGTGGCAAAAATTGGTCCCATAGGAATGAATGGCAAAATGTTCAAAACTAGAGTGGGAGCTGGCAAAAGCTGAAAAATCAGGACATGATTTCT